GCATTGCAAGTACCCCCTTCATGGTGGTGATTCGCGTCACTCTCTAAACAGCCTGCAGAGAAGCCCTCTCTAATTTGAGTGTGGAGCTGCTCTGCCTTAATCATTACTTCCCCTGAACTGATGGACTTCTAAGAAAGATGTACAAGTGGTGGCATGGAAGTCTGCAATACTCACAGCTTCTGCTGTGCTCTGCAAGAGCCATCACTGTGTTGTGCTGCCAGGTGGGCAAGGAGAGGCCTTGGCTGCAGCTTCCCACTCCTCTGCCTCACAGCCTCTCAGGACATCCATTCTCCCACCACGCCATGCATGGACTGTCCCACACCAGCTCTTCTGGCTCCCCACTTGTGTGCAGCACAGACTTGGCCTCCAGAAATGGATGTGGCTTCACCTGGCAGGAGCCTCCATGGCCACCTGCCCTGTTTGGTGGGAAAGAATCACCTCTGCAGGGCAAGAATCCCCTCTGCTCATCCAAGCCCTAGCTAGGTGGGTCACTGTCCAAAACACCAGCAGGGGACTCAGAAGGAAGCAACAAAACTTCCAGAAGATGTGAAAATAAAATTTCTTGCACTTTTATGAACTCCTTTTCTTTCTACAATTTCAGCCACTTCCCTGGGTGGTGAGGCATGACCTAAAGGGCCACATACTGGGTTTACAGGTAGCAGTCAGGCTCTGGTATTCTGGTTCTTTCAGCTCTTTTATAGAAGCACAGAATCATAAGGGTTGGACAAAACCTCTGAGATCATTGAGTCTAACTCTTAATCCTGCACTGCCAGATTCACCTCTAAACCAGGTCTCTAAGCACCACAGCTACACTTCCAGGGACATTTCCACCACTTCCCTGCTCAGCCTATTCTATTACTTGATCACCATTTTGCTGAAGAAAGTTTTTTTAATACCCAGTCTAAACTTCCCCTGGTGAAATTTGAGGGGATTTCCTCTTGTTCTGTCACTCTGGGAGAGGAGCCTGACCCCCACCTGGTTACAGCCTTCTGTCAGGTGGTTACAGAGAGCAACAAGGGCTCCCTTGTCTCCAGGCTGAGCACTCCCAGCTCCCTCAGACACTCCTGCTGTGACTCACTCTCCAGACTCTTCACCAGCTCTCTGTCCGCCTCTGGACACGCTATATCAGTCCAGAGTGTCCTTCTTCAGGAAGGTGTACAGGAGCTGAGGTGCTGTCTTACAATGTGAATTGTGCTGTGCTACACATGGAACATGCAGATGATGGATTTTGATGTGTTTGATTCTCTGATTGGTCTTTCAGAGAAAATGGATGGCCACCCACTGCAGGAGCCTCATGAGTACAAATGAGGAGCATACCTGCATCCTGGGGCTCCTGTGTCCACTCTGATGGGAGCATAGCACAGGATGTGCAGGAGCTGACTCCAGAACACCTTTCCTGCAGGTCAAACAAGAGGCAGCCAGCCCTCCAGCAGAGATCAGTTGTCTCCTTGTGAGCAACTGAGCTTACAGGAAGGACCTGGGCCCCAGGGGTGCCTGTTCCCAAGACAGAAACACATCCTGGCACCTCTTGGCTCCTTCTAAACCAGATTACTGTCCAGGAAGGCAAAGAGTATCTCCCAGTTGGGGCGCTTTGTCATAGGGTGCTTGCCTGTTTGAATGGAGAAGAGATTGCTCCTTGGACACTTCTGTGAGCTCCCTCAGCACCCCTGGCAGCAGAGCTGACACCCCAGAGGCAAGGGGCCTGGCTTTCCTTTCAATGGGGCATCAAAACCTTAACAAAGTGTTTGGGGGTGCCTTGTGGCTCTGCAAATAGGAGACATGCCTTGAAATGCCTCCAAGGGAAACTGCTGTGCAATGTGTGCAGAGAGAAGGTAATGGCCCGGATTAGACTTTGGCTAAGGCACAGGCCTTGACCCTTGGCAAGGGAGTGCGCCACAGAGCTTGGAGAGCTGCACGTGGCTGTTGCTCCTGCGGCTGCACAGCACCTCAGAGCAGGGTTCAGCACGTCAGAGCAGGGCTCAGAGCAGGGCTCACACCTCAGAGCAGGGCTCAGAGCAGGGCTCACACCTCAGAGCCGGGTTCAGCATGTCAGAGCAGAGCTCACACCTCAGAGCAGGGCTCAGGCCTCGGAGCAGGGCTCACAGAGCAGGGCTCACACCTCAGAGCAGGGCTCACACCTCAGAGCAGGGCTCACACCTCAGAGCAGGGCTCAGAGCAGGGCTCACACCTCAGAGCAGGGCTCACACCCCAGAGCAGGGCTCAGAGCAGGGCTCACAGAGCAGGGCTCACACCTCAGAGCAGGGCTCAGAGCAGGGCTCACAGAGCAGGGCTCACACCCCAGAGCAGGGCTCACACCTCAGAGCAGGGCTCAGAGCAGGGCTCACAGAGCAGGGTTCACACCTCAGAGCAGGGCTCACACCCCAGAGCAGGGCTCAGAGCAGGGCTCACAGAGCAGGGCTCACACCTCAGAGCAGGGCTCAGAGCAGGGCTCACAGAGCAGGGCTCACACTCCAGAGCAGGGCTCACACCTCAGAGCAGGGCGCAGAGCAGGGCTCCCACCTCAGAGCAGGGTTCACAGAGCAGGGCTCCCACCTCACAGCAGGGCCCAGCACCTCAGAGCAGGGCTCCCACCTCACAGCAGGGCTCCCACCTCACAGCAGGGCTCACACCTCAGAGCAGGGCTCACACTCCAGAGCAGGGCTCACACTCCAGAGCAGGGCTCACAGAGCAGGGCTCACACCTCACAGCAGGGCCCAGCACCTCAGAGCAGGGCTCACACTCCAGAGCAGGGCTCACACTCCAGAGCAGGGCTCACAGAGCAGGGCTCACACCTCACAGCAGGGCCCAGCACCTCAGAGCAGGGCTCATGGCCACTCGGCAGCCACCATTGGGAGCTCTGGACAAAGCTGAGCTGTGCCCATCGTCCTCTCCTTCTGCAAAAGGGTGATTCCAGCAACTCTTACCAACCTGAAAAATGAATTCTTCCCTCTTCCTTTTTCTCTAGGCTTTTTCTCCTTTCACATTTTTCTCTTCTCTCAACTGACACTTTTCAATATTCATTTTCTTCTTTATCATCTCCTTTTTCTATATCATTTTTCACCTCTCATACAGTTTCCTCACTTGTCACTCTACTTCTTTTCTCAAAAGCATGGTATCGTTTTTTAAAAATGTTTGCTTGTCTTGTCCAAATCCTTTCCATTGTGCTTTCCCTGAGTTCCCTCATTACCTTTTATTTTCCCTTGCAGCTGCTTAGCTGCTTTTGCCATTTGTTTAAACATCCAGGACGTTTCTCATCCTCCTCAAGCTTCTGTGTACAAGGTCTGGGGCCACAGGTCTACTCCTGAATGTGGTCTGCATTCCAGCATTGCTTCCATCCTCAGAAGATCCCAAGCCCCAGCTTCCATTTGGTCATGGGATATTGACCACAGGTCAATTTTCATGCTATGGGAGCCTATGCAATTATAAAGGTAGCTAAAGACCAATCACACCGTAATACTGCATCTAGAAATACTCATGAGTAGTTGGGATCCTGGCAAGAAGAAAATTGTTGCAAGGTGTTTCAGTTAGTAATAAATAGTTATATATTGCTTCATAGTCATATATTGCTTTTGGTACATTTTGGTCAATAAATACAAAAGAAAAAGGTGTCTTCACTGTTTTCTTGCCATGGCAGTAACATTTCTGACAATTTACTCAAAGAGCCTCCTATCCTTTAGGCTTAATTGCCCTCCAGTAATTTCTTCCTATTTCTGGGAAAATCTATCTCATTAATATTTGTAGGTACAAGCTTACCCATATTTTTTCTGTACCACTGCTGGGTAACCCTAAGTAATTCTCATTGGTGTGGCTTCATGGAACAGAAATACTAATTCTGTTATTTATAGTTGCAGTGAGTAAACTAATTAACACATAGTAGTGCTTCTGGACATATCTCTCTTCTTGCCTTTCAACATTTTGGCCACTACTCAGTTTTCTCCATGTTATCACTGCCTTCACACTAGCTGAAGCACCCAGAACCATAACTAATTTGACAGAGGGAGATGTCTAGTGCTACATGAGGAAGGGCTATTTGTGCCATTGCCTGTGATGTGATATCTCCAGTTGTGCATCTCCAAGTGATGTTGGCTCTGCTTCCACTGTATCACATTGACACTTCACACCCTGCTTGTTGTTCACCTGATACCATAGGAAAGCCTTTTTCCACCTGGTTGGTAGCTGCTTTTCAAGTTTCTCTGTCTGACTGGATGTCTGCACTGGGGTTAGTTCTGATTACAGACAGGACTTGCACTTGAATAACTCTGCTGCATCCTTAAAATATTGATATTAACCATCAGCCTCTAAGTCAAGGTCATCTAAGGCTCTGTTCATCTTCCAGTTCTTTAGGCCAAGGCCCAGGACCTGGTGGGCCAGACTGGTGGCCTGACACAACCCATAGCTTAGTTTTAATGGCCTTATAAACCTCTTTTTCCAATGCAAATATGAAACTGCACTAACATATGGGCTCAGGTACTGTCCTCCACAAATGCTCAGGTGCAGCTGAGAAAGATCTCAGGTTCTTTCCCAGGAGACTTCCCAAATGCTCATGAACTTGATGCAAGCATCTGGAGGGTTTTCATTCACAGAAATCCAGGACTATATGTCTGCTTGAAAGCTTCAAACCACATTTATTGTAAATTCATGGGAAAAAAAAAAAAGAAGAAACCACAGGCTGGTAAACTATTACATCTCAGTGTAAAGAACTTGTCCAGTTATGTGCAATGAGATATTAACAAGAATGTCTAAATAAGCAACAACTTCTCAATATAAATCTCATTAAATAAAAAAGAAAATTATTTCCATATTTACAGATTACAATGCAAATGGATCCTTGGAGCATTATTTTGTATTTAGCAGGTTTATTTCTTTGAAATAAAAGAGAAATGGCTTGAATCTAAGAGTGTACTTTGGAAGCAGCTTTCTAGACAGTCTATGTTATCACCAGTGAAAGGACAAGCAGCCTCCCCTCGATCACTGCTCTGCTTGTTCTGCCATCCAGTCTTTCACCGAAGGGCCTCTGGTACCTCCACCTATGAAACAGGGAAGGGAAGAGCATTCATTACATTTGCTGTACAGTCTAGATGGCAAAATACCTGAAATTCCTGCAGACATACACTGCCAAGAGCTCTGTGCTACACATCATCTCCCATAACAAGACTGAGCCTGGGAAAGTACCCCACTTTCTGTCAAAATCACAGTCAGAAATCACTGTGCTGAGAAAAGCCTAATCAGAGGGAAGCCTCCTCCCAAGTGCTTTATTATGTTCACATCTCTAAGATTTTTTTTTAACTAACTGTGTGTACTAAAATTAACTGAGCTTGTGCTATATTTGGACCACAATCAGTTACTGACTGAGGATCTCCTACTTACCCGCCTTAATTGCTTTATGCTGCTTGCCCGAATTGCTTCCATAAGGTTGTCATGGAGAGACCTTTGTGGGGTGGATGGCCGGGTGGAGGGTCGTGAGCCTTCCTCTGATTTTCTGTCTGAGATTGATTTTAAAGAATCTTTAATTTCTTTCAATATGTTGTTCTCATGTTTTCTGGGTTTTTTGCCCTTTTTCTTTTTCTGTCCATTGTGTAAGGCTTTTTTTGAGCTTTCTTGCTGTTTGATGACTTCAGCTATATTCCTGGTAGGCGCCTTCTTCTCTGGCAGAAGCGGAGGAGGGGGAGGAGGAGGGGGAGGTGGGGGCGAGGGGGGAAGGGGAGGTGGGGGTGCAGGTGCTGAAGGCTGGCATTTCACTGGCAGTGCTTTCTTAGGGAGCTTTGGGGAAGACCACGGCGAGCTTTTAGGCGACACGTAAGGTGAGGACCGAGGTGTCCCCTTCTGCAGAACTTTGGTCTTTGGATTGACAGCTCCGTCACAACCTGACTCCTGCTGCCGCTGCTCCTGCATACGCTTTTGCCTTTGTTTATCCATATTTCTTGTCAGGATACTTGTCATGCTCATTCTTGGGCCAGCAAGGTCAAAGTGGTAGCCCAGCTTTACCAGAGTGGTGTTCTCTTTCAGCAGTTTGACTATGTCCATTTCCACCTGGCTGCCCATGATGTGCCTTTGATTGTGGAAGCGCAGTTCTGTTAGAACCTTGTTGTGCTGCAGAGCTCTCATGATGGCCAGCACGCCTTTGCCTGTGATAAAATTTGACTCAATATTCAGACTAGTTATATGCTGATTAACCTTTAACATACCAGCAATAGCTATTGCCACGTTGTCATCAGCATGGGTATTAGCCAAGCTGAATGACTTCACCATTGTGTTGTCCCTCAGGGCTTGAGAAAATTGTATGAGCATCTGTGAAGTGATGTTTTCAATGTTGTTCAGATTGACCTCTGTGGTGTCAGGGTCGTTGCTCCTAACTTTTTCCAAAGCATCTTCAATAACTGTTGGATTTCCACAAGGGTGGATGGCACTGCTTTTTGAACTCCGATTATCACTGTCTTTTCCATCATGGCCATTGAGGAAGCTTTCATCGTCCTTTGCACCATTACACTTTTTGTGTCTGCCGTGGTCAGAACGCCTGCCAGCTGCAGCATTTTGCACTTCCTCATCCTCATCATCACTCTCATCTTCATTTTCCTCTTCATCTTCTTCTTCATCATCCTCTTCAGTATATGCCTCCTCAGACACTTCACTATTGCTTTCTGTGAAGCATTCTTCTTGAAGTTCTTCTGAATTGTCCTCTTCTTGCTCAGAATCCTGAACAGGAACGTAGGTGTGGGTATTAAACATGATTGAAGTAATGGAACTGCTGCCTTTTAGCACAGGAACAATTATACTGTCACTATATAAATTAACATTGAAAGCTAAAAACAAACAGATACAGTTAGGAGAACAGAAAATGATTCATCTAACACCTATACAACATTATTTCTTTTACATTCTTTAGAAAATGCTTAGCATAAATTGCAAACACTCTACCAATGTCAGTGATTTCTGCTGAAACAACTTGATACAAGTGACACGGACATACTTCAGGTTTTCTATGTGTTGGCATGTCTACAAGGGGATATAATTTGGATCCTTGACAGCAGAAATATAAGACAGCAATTTCAGAATGAACATGAGCAACAAGCTTCTTCATTTCAGGAGGCTTAGACATCTCAGACTCCCTTGCATATGTTAGTACGTCTCAAAAATTAAAGGTTGCCATGTTTTAAAATACAAATAGTGTCTGCATGTGCAGTCTTGTATACCAGCATGCAAAACAGTACTGAATTACAGAAGTCATGTCAAAAATACTTTGGATGTACTGCATGGGCTGTACATACTAATAAAAAATTTGTGAAGAAAGGTTTGAGGTGCATTCCCACAGGGAAGATGTAACCACATGTCAATAACCCCTGAATTTCTTCGTGTTTGTCAGGAGCTAAGCTGGTGCCCACCATCAGCTGTCACAGGTCAGCCACCACACTGAAAATTGTTATAACTCACTGTCTACAGAGCAAGGGCATTGTTTTTCTGAAAAACTAGGTTCTTTTAGTGTGTTTGATGGGTATCAGGAAGGCAAATTTGGAACCATGCCCCAAAGGTCTGCTTGCTGCCTTTAGCAGTTATGGTGGCTAAAGAGAACTCTATGCAGAGGAGCAGGAAAAGGTCTCTACCCCAGGAAAGACTCACTCTTCCCATGGAGGACCCCAGCAGTGTGATGGGGATCTATGGGGTGTTACAGAACCCAGAATCTACAGCCAACCTTAAAGCTCTTGCTCAAAAGGTCTTCCATGTCAGGTTTTGCCTACTGGAAAAACTATAGGTGCACATTTTTCTTTACAATTGTAAATGTAAAACTTTGGATGAATTATAATTGTTCTGTAAGCACTACTTTAGCAATACTTGTGTTTTAATCTCTGTAAAATGCTAGATTGTATTTAGCAAAGTGAGTACACTGTGCAGAGACACAGTGATTCTGTTTCTGGAAAACAAAAGTGTTACTAGCAGGGCAGCCTATTTTTAGACAACCTGTGCAGTTTTAGGTTTGCTTAGTTATCTGTCTCTGAGAATAGAGACCTGTTAAAATGCAGGGTACTGTTTCACAATTTTCAGTAGGATTCTGTGCTGGGACATATGCAAAAAAGATGCTAATTGTAATGTTTGCAGAACTGTGACTCTTAATGAAACAGGACACTGAGTTGTTTCTGCCTGATGTTCCTGAGCACTCAGTACCTGGGGTCTTGCAGGGTCTGACTGCATTGGCCTGCACACAGAGCTCTTGTAGGACCCAGCCCCATTGCTTCTCCTGTAGAACATGTGCAGCAAGGCCCTTATGCTGAGAGATACTGTGCTACCTCTAGGCTTTTATGGGATTAAGATTTGTATCTTCTATATATGTGTGGGGCTTAAAGACTTGGAAACAGCAGGTATGCAAACCCTGTCTTCATGGTTTTGGTTTTATATCTTGAGGAATATATACTACAGATGAGCAGAAGGAGGTGCCTTTAAATTTACTATTGATATGTTTAGTGATGTTAAATTAATAAAAACCTACTTGATTTTTTTTTGAGTGGCATTTCTGAGGTCAAAGGCAGAATTTATTTGCCTGTCAGGTACATTTTCTGGTGTCATAATAATCTGCATGATAATTTTGAAATTGAACATGGAGAGATATATTCTTACTGTAGCAGCACTGTGGCACAGGACAGCTGCAGGCAACCTGTAGGGCTTCATTTTACTTTTTGGGGAACAATGTAATGAAAAGTCAGGACTAAATGAATTAATGCTGAGGTAAATATCTTGGGAGGACAAGCTATTCACCCTAAAAGGCTATCTGCAAGTTGTTTGCCTTTTGGACCAGCTGATCTGTCACCACTAACTATAGAAGGAGCATGAATAACCATCTTAGATAAAGGTGCATAATTTTCAGACAGTTGAAAGCAAGAAAATTGTTTTCAAGGACCTTTCTCATTGCCATCAGTGGAGAGAGTCTTTGCAACCTCTATATCAGCATATCAACCTTTAATTATTTAAGGATGCATTCTGGAAGTTTTTTCTCAGATCAAAAAGTATAGAATCTTTTGCCAGGACTTGGAGGTATAGCCAGTACCCATCATTAATGCTGTATATACATGGAAAAAGAAAAAAAAAAAAGATCCTGCCATTGTGTAAGACACAGAGCTAGACCCGTTCAGCAGGTTTTTTAGAAGTGCCCAGGTTTTGAGTTCCAGGCTAAGCTGGAAATAAACATTAATCTTGCCATTTACTCTCTAGGGCTGACAAACAGGGAGTGAAGTCGATGTCTGCAAGCTGATACTAATGGTCTGCTGACAGCTTCTGGTCTGTACTCTTGCCTGCAAAGACCTTATACCTCCATTCACAAACAAGAGAAAATACTTACAGGTAAAAACATCCTGGATATTGCAGAGTAATTTAATACATCTGACTTTCCTCTAGGAAGATATTTTATCTAATGTATAAACTGCAATTATTTCCTTGCAAATGAAATAAGCTCCTGCATCAAGGCTGTTAGTGGTTCTGAGTTGTTTTGCTGTCTTTGTTGTATTACTTTCTGCTTAAACATGGGAAAATGTGTCCCTATAAGCACAGTAAAAGCTTGGTAGGAAGCAGTGCTTTAAAATCCCCAAGTCCCCACTTTGCTTTTAAATTACATGGAGCCATCATGAAAATAGAATTTGCTTTTTGGTTGGGCTCAGTCTCACATACACTTTTAGCAAGGATCAGGAGTGCCAACATGGACATCAGCTGAGACTGGGAGTGCTCACTGCTTGCCAAGACTGAGCCCTTCACTCCTGCCCAGCTGTACTCTTCATTTGCAGTTCAGGAAATGGCTTTTATTACTAACATTTTTATTTTGGGGAAGGAGTTGCCTAACAAACACTACTGGTTGTTTTTTTGGGAATGCAGTTAAATGGTTTGACTGATTACTCCATCCAAGGCCACTTTTTAAATAATGTCCAGCTGCCCTCTGACTACAGTTGCCAGAAGACCCCTGAACCATGCCAAGGATCCTCAGCAGGAACAAAGCAACACAAGCTGCTGACTGCAACACAAGCTGCTTTCTTCCAGCAAGCACAAAGCCTGGCATCCGCTTACTCAGCTTCTGACATAACATGTATTCAAAATTATCTTCCTTACATGTTTCTCAGCAGTCAATACTGGTTGTTTTTAAGGAAAGGAAAAGGCATTATGTGTAGCTTTCTTAAAAAATCAAATACTATCCAAAAGCCCACATCTTTAGCTATTAAAAATTTCTAACATGCCCTTTAATTTTTGTTCCTGTTTTAATCACTAACAATAGTTTTAATGGCACTTTCTTCTATTCTGAACTGAGCACTTAAGATACCCGCAGAGAGAGCAAATACTCTCTGACCTAATACTCAGCATTATAGCACACACAGAGGTATGGCCAACAATGTTCTTAAAAATGCCACAAGAGACTGAAAAAAAATTAAATCAGTCAGTGAGATCATGCCAATGCAGAATAAAACCAAATATTTATAGGAAACAGCAAATGCCTCAGCACCTTACCTTCTCACATGCACCCAACCTCTCTTTTTCCAGGAGTTTCTTGGTCTCCCTCTCCCAGTAGGCCATCAGTGCCTCCCTGCTGAAAGTCCCTGTTGGGGTTTTCTCCGTCAGGCTCTTCTGCCGCTGTCCCACTGGGAGGTTACGGTCGGGCTCTATGTCCTCCAGCTCCCGCTCCAGCTCCTTGAGCTCCTCTTCAGTGAGAGAGGCGAGGAGCTCATCTTCATCAATGTCTTCATATTTACTGAGCTCTCTTCTGTACCCAAAGGTAGACATGGTCCTGCTTGGTCAGGCTGGTACAAAGCTACACTGACCAGGCATTCAAGAAGGCTGAAGCAGGCAAGCTGGGTCTGGTGTGGTCAGCAACTGTTTCCCTGCATAGCCAGAGGCTCCCTTTTAAGAGTAATCATCGGGGGCTTACGACAATGCATGAAGGGATGAAAGCATGCTCCGTTTTAAGCATCAGACGTCAGCTAGACATCTGAACAGCAAGAATGTCCCAACACTAATGTTTGCAAGTCCCTTAAAGAGGGGGATTATTGACACACTGGCCATGGCCATATTTAGAGCAGGCAGCTAGTGGGAGAATACCAGCCTCGCAGACGGGGGGGCGGCACCAAATAAAACCCCGGGCGCACTGACACTGGCATCGTGTCCACATTGCAGTGGGGAAAGAACAATGAAAATCCATTTAATCCTGAGCTGTCACAGGGGCGTGAAATAAAACACCCTTGCTGCTGTTCAGTGGACTTCCTCTCACAGTTTTCTCGTGGAATGCTGTTATCCCAGCAAGGTGTTTGCAGCAGTTGGGATCTATGGAAAGGCAGCCAAGGGGAGGAGGCCGGCGTGCCAGCAGCTGTGGGGATCACTGCTCCCACAGTGGCACACGTTGTCTGTAACAAATCACACAACTGAATTTTTTATTAATTCCCTTATTTCTTCTAGGACTATCAGAGTGAGAATCAGCTGTTCATGTCCATTTGGAGCACCTGTGAGATTTTTGTTCACGTGGAGAATTGTGCTCTGCTGGGGGGAATGGACAGAGTCACCCGGAGATTTAAGGGTAACAAGCCCTGGGTGGGCAGGGGGGCTGTGCCTTCACCACTTCTGACCAGACAAGTGACTGAAGGCCTCTAGTGGCTATTCTTTTAATGGCTGTTGCTTGCTGTCACTGACTGATGTGCAGCTGGAGAGAGCCCTTCAAGTCTTTATTCTAAATGTATAGCTACATTATAGTTTCTGCTAAAAGATTTTATATTATTCTGATATTATTTTTATTGACAGGCATCTTTCGGTAAGAAGAAATGCAAAAAGAAAGATTAAAGTTTGTGCTGTTTATTTGTTTTTCTGATGTGGTTGTTTTTTGGTTTTTTTTCCTTTTTTCTATTTAGCAGTGAATGATGGTGAGCTAGCAGCATTTTCTGAAACATGCAGACCAGCAATATCTGCCAATCTTTGTTGTGAGAGAGGGGAGGGAGAGGAAGAGAGAAGGTTTTATACATGGAAGTAGGAACACATCTATAACAACATATATCAGCCTTCTTAAATGATAACACACAGTGTGTTTTAGACAGTCAAGCCAATATTTAATGGAAATGTAAGTGAACATAATTTGAAGTATTGTTATTTTCTGACATCATCTCTTTGATCAGTATGGATTGGACACCTGCACTGAGGTATGATGCTTAGCCAAATTGCTCACTTGTCACTATCATATTTTCTGAAAAATCCCTTTGCCAGGTTTCCTTCCCCTGGGAAGCTGAGAAACCTCAGAGAAAAAACAATATTATCTCGTTTGCTTCTCCCTGTTTTTCTGCTTTAGAATGTAGCTGGAGATTGTTTACCAACAGGTGCATGTTTGATTAGTTTCATGCAAATTGTTTTCACTTAATGACCAATCACCATCAGCCGTGTCAGACTCTGAGAAGTCAGTCAAGAGTTTTTCATTATCATTCTTGTTAAGCCTTCTGTATGTATCCTTTCTCTATTCTTTAGTATAGTTTTAGTATAGTATTCTTTTATATAAGATAATATCATAAAATAATAAATTAGCCTTCTAGAAACATGGACTCAAATTCACTCATCTCTTACCTCATCCTGGGGACCCCTGCAAATACCCCACTCAGTTTCATTATTATTCATACAGCTTTACTGACAGTAGAGAGAGGAGAATATCAGATCTTTTTGAAAATCATGCTCAAAGAAATTACATTTTTCCTTTGATAATTTGTCCATGTGAACTTCATGCAGTTATCTTGATCAAGAAGTGGTATGAAAGCTTAAAACCTTAGTCTTTCCTAACCTACAAAATACATTAATAAAGCAGACATAAGAATATCATGTAGCTTAATATAAAATAAATATTTGCAGGTCATTTACATTGACAGAATCTTTGGATAAAATAAAAAGGAGGCAGATGCTTGGCTTATGGAGCTAAGAATGTTACCTACACCCTTATACCTTCATAGTATAAGGTCCCATCATGGACCAAGTGCACACACAGAGGTCAGTGGGTCCACAGGAGCTCTGTTCACTCTTTCACTGGGCCGAATTCTGAAAAAATGTGAAAGACTAGGAAAATATAATAAGTTCCTTTTTTCTTTTAATTTGACATTATCAATGCTTTTGGGTAGAGCTGACATAGGCATTAATTATCTGTATATAGCTGCACTCCAAGCAATTTTATTTTTTTAATATGTCTAGGACAATGGTTCACATCATTATCATTGGAGTTTGCCAGAGAAGCAGCATAATAAAGCTATTTTTCTTGAGTGCATTTTTGCTGACAACATTTTGTTACAAGCATATTTTGATGGAGTTAGGAAATGTGAACTGGGCATATTTTCTGTTGGAAAATCCTAATTGAAACTGAAATGCTTTTAGAAATATACTATATTTTATTAGTACACTGTTGATATGTATTAGTATATGTTGATATGTATACAACACTGATATGTATAATATTAAAAGCAAAAATATGCTGTTAAAAATTAAATCTATTAAAATATATTGTTTCCATAAGAAAAAAATCTCAGCTTTCTGCTCTTCCTTTTTTGTCAGGTACAACAAAATTTATAAATCTTTCAATTTTCCTGAGCTGAGAGTCCATCATACAAAGTACAAACATACAGACACCTGAATTGTCTATACGAAGTTTTTTGTGTATAAACAAAATTTTCCAAAATCAAAGTAACTTTTAAAAAGCAGCATGTATTATTCACTTCTAAAATAATATTCCAAAGGAGTATTAAATGACATGAATATTACCTTCAATGCTACTCCTTGCTGAGACATGATACAACACTGGGCCAGTAGCGATACTTTTTCCTTCACAAAATGTCAATGATGTCCATTCTAGTCATGAGATAATTTAAAGACCTTACCAAAGATGGACAAGGTACTTTCTTGTACATTTCTCCCCTGAAGCAGGGGGAAAATTGGCAGTCAGGTGAGGTTATGAGAGGTTTGTGTCCCCTCTTGATCCTATATGGCACTCGTGGTATTTTATGACCTATTCTTTACAGGGAAATGGTCAAAGGTGAAGAGCCACAAACACTTTCCAGGACTATTTTAATAAAAACAATAAGGCTGTAGCACATGGAAAATAACACACAGACTAAAATTAATATGCTAAAACAGTACAAGTACTCGCTTGTCAGAAAATGTGGCAATAGTATTTGTTATTGCCTACTTATGAGCACTGAAACACAGTCCTTGATTCTATAGTTCTCTAATCACATACTTTGATCCTAGACACGAGTGTCAGAGGCCTTTACTCAGAACCTTTACTCTTTTTCATTGCATGGGAAAGATCACACACATTTAATAGCCTTACAGTGTTTTATTTTGCCCCTGTTCTTCAGCATAGTAAAGCTATCAATGATTTCAATTGTCAGTGGCCTTTTCAGAGAACCTGAAAGTGTTACCTCTGTTTTAAGGAAGAAGAAGAGAGGTAGAGAAACCTTAAGACTCAAAGTACCCACTAATTTGGAATTTTGGATTCCCTTTCTGGCAGTATTTGGCATTATGCAAGCATTTCAGCTGATCAGGGTTCAGTTCCTGTGGGTGTCAGCCACGGCTGAAGCTTCCCACCCTTACAACACTTCAGATCACAGGTTCCAACTTCCAAGAGGAACTCAGAACAAAGACAGGAGTAATTGTGTTTTCCTGTTATTAGCATTCTTACCTGAAACATTTTGTTCCTGTTTCATAGTCTCCTTTCTCAGGCACTATACGTGTTCTGATTTCTAAAAAAACCAAGCAAAAGACCCAGAGGTCTGACCAAACTATTTCCCCAGCTTTGTTCTCAATCACAGCATTAGAAACAGTTTAGGAAGAGTCCATTGTGTGCTAGTGAGGTGGCACAGGGAACTTTCTTCCATCACAGGAGGCAGTGAGTAGAGCATGAACCATATGTAGCAGAGGAAGGCAGATTTATAGTGGCTACATTGGCTGCTGTTTAGGATGAGTCCTACAATTAGACATTAGGAAAAATCTCTTCATGAAAGGGGTTGTCAAGTATTGGAACAGGTGTCCATAGCTGAGTCACCATCCCTGCATGTATTGAAAATGCATGTAGATGTGGCACTTAGGAGCACAGTTTAGTTGTGGTCTTAGCAGTGTTAGGCTAACATTTGAACTTGATGACCTAAAAGATCTTTGTGATGATTTGATGAAGTGCTTTGCCAACTCCTAACAGAAAACCCAAACTCACTTCCCTAATGCCCTGCTGAAATCCTGTATGCAGGGAATTCACTATTTCACCAATAGGTCATGAAAACTCATCTCTCATTCGACAGAATTATTAAAAGGTTTGTTCACTTCAGAACCTGAGCTGAGGGAAAAGAAGAACTGGAAGCACCCATTTTATAGGAGGAGGATTCACTCTATCATTGTAGACCTTGGCATCCACGGTTCCTGACTTTCCGCAGCTAAATTTCAGACAAGATTTTCCATCTTTCCTAACCTGGAGGAAAGATATTTTATTGTCTTGGTTTTACAAGAGGAAACTCTTCAAAGTGTCCATTTTGCCTTTCCAAGCAATTAATTATTTCAATCAGCAGCCAAAGCGACTCTGTTCCGCTTCTCACATTTCTACACTTGGGGCACATTGGCTCAATTGCTTAAAGGCTTCAAGTAACACGTGGCAGGTGGTGCTCACCCCTCAGCAGGACAAAGCCCACAGTTAAATGCATATTTCCACTCAGATGAGTGCAGGGGAGCCTACAGGCAGGCCCAGAGAGGGCTGCACAACCTTGTCCTCAGGCGCAGGACAG